TTATACAGCGCTGTGGCAGTAGAAAAAAAAATTAGTTGTCAAACAAAATACTATGATCAAATTTATCGTATAAAACACTTTTTTTAACTCAGGCAACCATAATAAATTAAAAAAAAAACGAATTTGACATAATATTAAATGATTGGATTTTTTCGTAAAAATCTTTTTCTTATATAGCTCTGTGGCAGTGGAAAAAAATTAAATTAATTATTAAAAAAACACTGTGATATAAGTTATCTTATCATACAACTTTTCTGGGGTCAGGCAACTTAATTAAAAAAATAAAATAAAAACACATTACTCAACGGCCCACCCTAATATATATATATATATATAGATATATATATATATATATATATAGATATATATATATATATATAGATATATATATATATATATATATAGATATATATATATATATATATATATATATATATATATATATATATATATATATATATATAGATATATATATATATATATATATATATAGATATATATATTATATATAATATATATATATATATATATATATATATATAGATATATATATATATATATATAGATATATATATATATAGATATATATATATATATATATATATATATATATATATATATATATATATATATATATATATATAGATATATATATTATATATATATATATATATATATATATATATATGTATATATATATATATATATATATATATATATATATATATATATATATATATCGATTGTGTGTCCTGTTGTTAGGGCATGTTGTGCAAGGGGAGATGTCTTTTCTTGCTTTGCAATAGCGTTTCGATATTCTTCTCGTCTTACTTAAATTCTTCGATTAGTCTGTCCGATGTAGGATTTGTCACAGTCTCCACAGGGAATCTTGTACACCGCTTGGTTTTCTAGTGCGATTTTGGTTTTTGCGGAGTTAAGCATATTAGAAATTTTTTTATCCGTGTTGAATATTGCCTCTATTTTAGGTTTTCTTAGGACTCTACTAATTTTTTCCGTAGTGCCCTTCACGTACGGTAAAATTGTCTTAGCAATAGGTTTTTCTTTTTCTTCTGTTGATTCTTTGATTTTTCGTCCTTGTGATTTTTGTGCCTTTTTAATTGTGTACGTGGTGAAGCCAATTTTTCTTAATGCTGTTTTGACCGTTTTCATTTCTTTATTCCTGTGTTCTTCATCTGTTAATCTTTCTGATCTTATAGTCAGGGTTTTGATGACTGACTGCAGTTGTGCAGGATGATGGTGTGAGTCAGCGTGTAGATATCTGTCGGTGTGTGTTGGTTTTCTGTATACCGTATATCCTAAAGTTCCATCTGTTTTCTTTATTATTAAAATAAAGAAAATTTAATAATAATTTTTTTTTTTAATAATTTATATATATATATATATATATATATATATATACATATATATATATATATATATATATATATATATATATATATATATATATATAAAGACAGTAAATGGTTTAAAAACTGTTTAATATATAGTTATTTAGCAAGAATATTAACGCGATCGTAATATTTATTTTAAAAATTGGCATCGGACTTTTGTAAGTGACTGCTGTTTTAAGTATTTAAATTTAAGTATATTGAAATTTTATGAAAAGTGCAAGTATGTAGCTACCTATATAAGTAACTATTTTTTGTACTAATACCTTATTAGGTCTAATTCGCATAAAAATTAAACATATTTGACTAGAAAAACATGATAAACTTTTATTTTTATACGAAATATATGAAGAAAGTAAAATAATACGCAAAATATCCATATTTAGGGTGACTAAGTTACGAGTGCTTATGTATACAACTAAGAGCAATGAAAATACTACGCTGCAAGTGATGTAGCTGCGCAAGGTTAACGCGAATTTGCACTTCGGGATAGATGCGCTGCACCATTGTGGAATGCATAAATTAAAAAATTAGCGATCTGTCATATTCACATGATCATACAGCTTTTCTTGTTAAGGATACGAACTTTTTAGAAATAAAAGCACTCTTTGATCTTTTATGTCTCCCCTCTGTCTTTAAACCAAACCATGGGGATGCTAAAGAACTATTTGCAAGTGACGGCATGGGTCACGACATATTTCGTGCTACAATATCACTGAAATGATTTGTATTTCTGTTAGCTATCTTACAGTTTGACAGCGCGGCTGGAAGAATTAAGAGATTTAATGACAAAATGCGTTATATAAGTGAAATTCTTAATAAGTTTATAGAAAACTATAAAGATGTAATATGCCAGGAGACTGTTTAATTAGCTATCAATATGACCTTCTTTAATTTTAGAAGCCGTTGTTCTTTCGCGGTTACATTAAAAGTGAACCTATCAAATATGACCTAAAAGTGATGTGTCTCTGTGATGCCAAGACTGATTGCTTGTTAAATTCCTTTACTATGTAGGTAAAAGGGAAGTACCCAATTCCAGAAGCTCTCTGTTAGGATATTATTAGTATTATCTCTTATTGAACCGGTAAAGCAAACTGGAAGAAACACAACTGGACATAACTGGTTTACCTTAATTGAACTGGTAGACAAATAGGTCGCACAAAATCTAAATTATGTTTAAACGGTACGTAGAAATAAAAGAGATATGCAATAGTATATAATTCCGAGTCAAAAAGGTGTACTTCATTGGTCTAAATTTGCTTTTACTTCATCAAAAACAATGGTTTTTTCTATAACAAATTAAAATAAGTATGCACTTCTTCTATCCTCGATGAATCATGATGACAAGATAAATGCCATTATAAAGAAATCTGATATCACGGTTTTTTTCAATTCCACTTAATCTGAGATAGATAGTTTGGATCATAAATACTCTAAATATAAGGCTGGTAGAAGAACAAGAAGATGGCCACGTACGATGTGGTATACTATTATGAATATTGCCTCTATAAATTCGTTTATCCACTTTAAAAGTGGTACTAACAGTGGCATAACACGAAGACAATTTGTTGTTAGCGCAGATGTTATGTTTGTCCATCAAGCAAAGAAAATAAACTCCAAACTGTTTGTAACACATCTGGAAATAATATGTTTGTAAAAATCACGGTACACAGTATCAAATAATTATTTTTTTAGTTTTAGGGCACTGTTTTAAACCTGTACATTTTTAGATACAAAATATACTGCTTTTTTATTTTTGCATAATATATGTTTATTTTTAACTTTTGCGGTCAACTCTTTATATACAAAATATTCTTTTATAATTATATAATAATAAATAAATAAAAACTTTTTTATAGTTAAATGAAATGTCGGGTCAGGACCATTGACCAAACGATACTAGTTACAAGTATAAAAATGACGATACCAATAAAGGGTTAAGTTAATGTAAAAATCTTCCGAACATATTCCTAGCGAACCATATCCTACGATATGATTATTTCCGTATGAGGGCGTGGTTATGCAAAACACTCGCCGATTTGTCTATCAACTAAAAACTCATTCATTTTTTTTATGATAATCTTTCTCTTTTAAAGAGTTGTTTGTGAAGGTAACTTAAAGTTTTACACTGTACCATTAGTCTTTATCTAAAAATTTTAAGCAATCTTGGTTCGCCTAGGTTTTCTTCTAGTATGCACTTTAATATTTGTTTTGTGTTTAATGAATGTGGAATCTAAATATGCCTTCCTACAGGCCATCCTGCGAGGAAGAATATTTGGAAAGTAAGTTTCAGGCAGACGAAAAACATCCTGCTTAAAGAACCTTAGAATGCAGTTCAACACAACATTTGTGCGACTTTGCCACAGTGCTCTAGATATTACGGCTGTCATTATGATCGCCAACATTAGTGACGAATGATCACATTAAGAAGAAGGATCAGTTGTTTAGACGAATGGTTCCAGTAATCCGGAGTCATATTTCCAACCACTTATACACAAGAAAGAGGATCGATATTAACAAATAATGGCGGGTGTTATGAGTAAGAATGACTAGGTCATCAATAGCAAAACTTATGAGAATTTGAAAAATCACTGATACAACTAAAGCCACGAAATTTTCCCTTAGGTGTGCACCTATATTCTCATTGCAACATATTACTCGAAAATGTTGCCTATCAAGAAAGTTGACTCAAACAGAATTAACGCCCCCCTTGAAATGTGGATACACACAAAGACATTATGAATTCCATGGACAGTATATCGTAAAATAGGTCTATACTCCAAGAGGTAAATAGTAATACCAAACTAATTACAAAAATAAATGAAAATATTATTTTGGTACTTTTGTCATATCACTAGAAGAAAAGAAAGCATGGAAAGAATAAACGAAAAACGTAAAGTCACAGTCAAAAGATCATGAGGCAGATCTCCTTCGCATGATGAACATCATGACGTCACCATACAATTGCGTAGGACAACGAATTCAAAAAAATGTAAGTTAATTTCTAGATGCTTTAGCGATTCAGACCTCTAACTTTAAACGTTGAAAGAGAAATGCCAATTTAATATATCTCTAACTTTCAAGTTGTGGCAGGTGGTAGGAGAGAAAAATTAAAGGAACATAATTATAGATGATAAAATGAGCTCTATATTCTAAGGAAATTATAATTAGTATAGCCCTAGATAACACCATGCAGAGATATGTTTTTCGTTTTACTGCCACTTGTACTTACAAAGGGAAGCGTTATGACCATAGACATAAAATACAAATAGACGGAGCGTTGCAATGCTGCGTCCTTACTTCAGTGCCATAAAGATAACTCACGCAATATGCGTCAGTTATATTAAATTATATAAAATATTTTTTATTGGGACGGATTTATCGACCAAGGGACCTTCCCATTAGGTATTTAGGTTACGTGGTCAAAAAACAGACCTATTAGAAAGAGATATAGGGACTGCTTTGCGTCAGTTTTCTCTGTCGCACTGTGGGAATGGTAATGTATTGAATCGATCAGTTCATTTGTATTTTATGTCTATAGTTAAGACAGTAGATTAGACTTTTTGGTTACTTAAATAAACATTTTTTCAGATTTGGATAGTTCTGCAATCTGGCAACTTTGCTTGGATCATACAAACCAGTATACCTGGTTTAATAGTGATATCTCAGAAAAACCTAGTAAGAAAGGTATAACTTTATCCGGTAGAAGCAGCAAATTGAGTGTTAAAAGTGAAAAAAGTAATAAAAGCATAAAAAGTTATAAGAGCGCTAAGAGCGAAACTAGAAGTGATACAATGACAGATAAAAGCGAAAAAGACAAAAAAAGTTTAAAGAGAGACAAAGATGGCATCAAAAAAAAGGAGACATTTCAGAGAACCCCTCAACCAGAAGAAAAAGAAGTTAATAAAGACAGTTTTATATTGACAATTGGAATTGCACTTAACGGGTAAATATTTATTTTTATTTATAATCTATTAAATTTATTTAGAAAATAAAGTTTTTTACTTATATACTCTCAATGATTTTCACACCTAATTTTTGACTTTACATCTTACAGATCTTGTACCAGTTTTGCTCACTGGAAACCTAAAAATATAGTTCTATACTTCGTGTAACACCACAAATGAAAATGACATTCTTTAGTCTACCAGCTCTATCTTACAGGTCTTACTACTTTTAAGTCATTCATTAACAATAATTATTGTTGGGTAGTGAATAACCTATGAACCGATATTATTTGTCTTAATTTTTGTTTTCATAAGAAAACAATCTTTTAACATTAATTTGTTTTTAAGAAATATCTTCATTCTTTATATTAACAGATTTTAACATTTTTATTAAAGTATTGAATTCAATTCACTGAATTTGGATGCATTTATTTAAGAATATAAAGTAGTTGATAACATATCATGCATACTTCAATTAATGACAAACGTTAATGCCTTACTTAATAATTTAATACAACCTCTTAATATTATGCATATGAATATAAAAAGCTGTCAAATAAAGTTTGATGCCTTTTTAATTATTTTATCTGAATGTAAGACAGATTTCAATTTGTTAATTATTTTATGCAAAAAAATTATAATAACAATAAATATAAAATAATATGTTAAACAGTAACAAAACTAATTTAATTAGAAATTTTAACACTGTTTTACTTAACATTTTACTTAATTTTAAGAAAAAGATTATTTTAACCGCTGTGTATAGATTGCCCAGTACTTGTCCAATAACATTTTAATAACAATTTAATGTATTACTTAAATAATTTCAATAGATCCTATGTTCATATTTTTGTGGTTAATATAAATATGATTCTTTTAGAGTGTTTATCTTTAAGTAATTTTATAAGACGGTTGTGTCGGACCTTATCGAACGCCCTATTGTAATCAATAAAACAAACATAGAGTGGTTGGTTTACATCCATACATCTTTGCATAAGGACGTTATATCAAAATAATGCCTCTCGTGTACCCATGGCATTCCTTAATCCAAATTGGGTTTCAGTGATAACTTGTTTCACTTTTCTGAAAATTTTTAAATGGATATTTTTTAAGAATATTTTTAGTGTGTGACTCGTTAGACTACTTATATGGTGGCCCCTTGAATTAGGTTTTTTTGGTAATGTAATAAATGTTGATTTGAGCCAATCTCTCGGAATAATATCCGTATTATATATAGTATTATATAAGTCTACTAATACATTGATCTGATCTTCTGATGTTTATTTAACTATTTTAGTTGAAAATGTGTCAGGCCCCGCAGTTTTATTACATTGTGCTAGATTTACTGCATGTATTATTTCATACTTAGTTATTTGGACCTATTTCATGTTCGTCGCAATCGTTCATGCTATTTTGTTGTGTCCTGTCGTCCTCAAACAATTCTTAGACGTATTCTCTCCATCTGTTTAGTTTGCTTTGATATCAGATATTATTTTATTATTCGTATCAATCGGAGTGTAACTATTGTTGGACCGTCTTATACCTGGTAATTCTTTAATATTTTTGTGCAATTCAAAACTATCATAATTTCTTTGGAGTTCTTCTATATCTAAACATTTGTCGTTGTACTACTTCTATTTAGCTGCCCGTATTTTTATCCTGATCTCCTTGTATGTGGCTTTGTATTCGTTTACATCTTTGTTTTTGTATGATCTTCTTTTGTCCATTAGTAGCCGGATCTCATCTGTCATCCATGGAGTCTTAGCTTGATAGATTTTGTGACTACTCAGCGTATCTTTAATAGACATTATTAATTCTAATTCTTGCTGGTTAAATAAAAGTTCAATAAACTGATTGGTCTATACTTTTCTAGGTGCACCTTGTCTTCTTTCTTGTGTAATAACCACATCTATAAAATGTTTACCCGAATAATTACGATAAGACTAGAGAAAAGTAACTAGAATATAACAGACCACTGGTACTTATTTTCGTAGACTTTCGCAAAGCCTTCGACACTGTGGAATTAGACAGCATTATAACTGCTATGAACAATAGTAGAATAGATTACCGGCTTACAAAGATAGTACAAATATTATACCAAAACGCCACAATGAGTATAAAAACTACATGATACCACCAGAGAAATTCATATCAAGCGAGGTGTGAGACAGGGCGACACTCTCTCACCTAAATTAGTTATAACGACTACTCCTTTAAAATGCTTAAGTGGGAAAATACAGAAATAAAACTTCGGCTTCTATACTATTTTTATATAAATTATATTTTTTTTAGTGAATCGAATAAAGGTTGGTCCCACACTTTGCTAGTACCACAGACCCGTACTGTACCATTATTGAAACCGACAAAAGATGAAGGTAATCTTTTTTCGTTATTATATATATATATATATATATATATATATATATATATATATATATATATATATATATATATATATTGTTATGATATGTAAAATCAAGAAAATATCGGTTTGTTTAAAATATTTCAAAGTTCAAAACATTAAAATAATTCAGATAAGTAGGATAATAACCAACAAACATTTCGAAGAAGGAAAGTCTTTAAATTTTTGGATTACCTGTATTAAACAAAATGTAAGCTATGCATAAATTATTTTCTTTGTTATAATATACTTGAGTGACCCGCATAATTTTAAGTGAAATCCAAAGACAATTGAACCGGGTTTTCCAAATACATTAATGCAGTGATTAAGGACAATAGAATAGATTTTAGAAAGAGGTTTTTGTTAGTTTTTAAGAATTGTAGAAAAATATTATTTGTAAATAAGTTTTAGGAAATTTTATAATTATAGGTAAAAATTTGTTTGTTATCGAAATGAAAAAATGGGAGAATTGTGACGAGCTTTGATTGGCGGAGATTAAAAAAGGTGGGATAGGTATGTAGGAATGAAAGTTTAGCTAGATTTTTGAGAGAGAAAAGATAATCAGTTGGTTTCCAAGGGTGCAAGGCGAACGGCCGTTGTTTCTCGGGTAGTTTCCCAGAGGTAGGAAGCAGTAGCAGTGAAAGTTTGTGAGTTTTCGTGTAGTTAGTGTATCTGACAGAAGCTGATCCAGTAAAAGATTGTAAGTCATATTTTTCTACTTATATTCCAAGAGTCACTGTTCAGGCCAACGAGAGATTCAGTTTATCGTAAAGAAAAGATATTCCAAGAGTCATTTTTCACTCAGGCCAACGAGAGATTCAGTTTATTGAGAGAAGAAGAAGCTAGCATAATTTGAACGATTCGTGCATTTGAAGGAGATCATTAAGGACGATAAACTTGCAACAATTTGTTGTAAGATTGCTGATTACCTAGGGAGCGCCTGAGAGTAGATAATATAGTCTACAAGGAACAAGGATTTGGACCACTCATCATCAGAGAGAGATATTTTTGTTTTCTGCAGTTTTTCTTTTATTGATAACACAATTTTTACACTTAATTTAGAAAGGATATAAATATTTTGATTAGGAGAGTTAGAATAATTTGGGATTTTGAGATTTCAATTAATATTGTTTGTACCATTAATTTTGAAGGTTCACGTACGTAGAACAAAATTTTGAGAATCATTATATGAGATTTTGTTTATTGAAAACATTTGAGTGTGAATTATTTCATTATTTTTATTTCAATATATAGTGTTATATCATATGTGTTTTTTATTATTCCGGTATTCTTTGGACCTTACCTTTCACATGTAATAGCATAGATATTGAAGCACGAATTTAACCCTGATATAAGAGAATTAAAAAGTGTGATAGAGTCATAATCATATCATTTAAATAATTTTAATCAATTAATTAATTAATTAGCTAATTAATTGCTTGGCGTACCAATACTTCAAATATCACAATAACTGGCTTCCAAAACGTGGGGCTTAAAAAAATCGCAGCTTTACATTTGAAGGAAGGGAAAGAGATCTGGAATAAGTACAGGTGATCCAGAGATAAAAACATATAACATTGAGGGAATTTGAATTTGAAAGTATTTTGCCATTTTTTTCCTGTGGATATAAATTTGATTTATTGATTGATCGTAGTTAGTTAATATTTACTGCTATTGAATTATTTTATTTTATTTTACCAATCGTACATTTGATATTTATTTTGAATTATTTGAATTATACTAATTGCATATTTGATATTTGTCGTGAAAATTTATTACAATTGGGGAGAAATATTGTCGTGTTCTGCAACATATAGAGTGTTGTAAAATTTCACATTTGGCGGGGACAAAAACATTAACGAAAAGAAACAACATGTCGACCACAAGGAGTCAAAGCAAAATGCAGGAAAGGAAGGAGGATAATAGAGAAAAGGAAACAATTGTTGAAGAAAAATTGGATAACGAAGGAAATGTTACAATAATTAAGGAGAGAAATGAATCATCAGAAATAGATAAAATATTTTAACTAATGCAACTCCATTACGAGAAAATGGATAAAATCCACAAAGAAACGTTACGAAAAATGGATGAATTTTCACAAACAATAAATGAAACATCAAAGAAAATGGATAGAAACCAAGAAAAGACAAAACAAACAATGAATGAAACAGCAGCGAAAAACCAAAAAGAAACATCACTAAAAATGGAAGAAAACCAACGGGAAACAAGACAAGCAATAGAACAGAAATTAGAAGAAAATGATAGGAAAATGGAAAAGCGTTTGGACAAATATGAAAATGAAGAAAAAGTTAGAGAAGAAACAGAGAGGAAACCAGAGATGCAGAGAGAAGAAATAGATACTAAAATGAAAAATAATAAGACTGTCCAGAAAAAGGAATTAGAAAAATTAGAAACAAAATTTGAAAACGCTTTACAAGAAGACTTGCAAGAAATAGAAAGAAAAATGGAGGAAATCAAGAAGGAACAAAATTCCGGGGAAAAAAGGGAAATGTTTACCTATGGAACAAGCAAGGCGACAATACAATTTGGCGGGGATATTAGAAAAACACACCCAGTACTGTTTGTTAAAAATTTGAAAACCAAATTGCAACATGTGAGATATGTTGACGATTGCAAAGAAACTATTAGAAACGATCTGAAAGAAGGAGCAGCACTATGGTATGAAAGCAAAGAAGATGAGTTTAAAATTTGGACAGATTTCGAAAATAAATTTCTCAACTATTTATGGTTAAAAAATAAACAGAGGAAAATAAACCAAGAGCTACAGAATGGAAAATATCACGAGAAATGGGAATATCTGAAGAAAGCCAAGTGGAGAAAAATGATGAACATATTTATTAAAGTTAAAAACTTGGGAAAATTTAAATCGAAAGCATATCCAATCCCGTATAAAGACAGGCAATATACGGGGTGTTTTAATATTCACGACATCTATCAGTATCATGAGTAGATTTTAATAACATAGTGAAATAATTTGATCCTGGAAAACTTTTGTCATATTTAAAATTTAACAAAGAGTTTTCGGCAGATCAAATGGCGGGGATTTGTTATGATATGTAAAATCAAGAAAATATCGGTTTGTTTAAAATATTTCAAAGTTCAAAACATTAAAATAATTCAGATAAGTAGGATAATAACCAACAAACATTTCGAAGAAGGAAAGTCTTTAAATTTTTGGATTACCTGTATTAAACAAAATGTAAGCTATGCATAAATTATTTTCTTTGTTATAATATACTTGAGTGACCCGCATAATTTTAAGTGAAATCCAAAGACAATTAAACCGGGTTTTCCAAATACATTAATGCAGTGATTAAGGACAATAGAATAGATTTTAGAAAGAGGTCTTTGTTAGTTTTTAAGAATTGTAGAAAAATATTATTTGTAAATAAGTTTTAGGAAATTTTATAATTATAGGTAAAAATTTGTTTGTTATCGAAATGAAAAAATGGGAGAATTGTGACGAGCTTTGATTGGCGGAGATTAAAAAAGGTGGGATAGGTATGTAGGAATGAAAGTTTAGCTAGATTTTTGAGAGAGAAAAGATAATCAGTTGGTTTCCAAGGGTGCAAGGCGAACGGCCGTTGTTTCTCGGGTAGTTTCCCAGAGGTAGGAAGCAGTAGCAGTGAAAGTTTGTGAGTTTTCGTGTAGTTAGTGTATCTGACAGAAGCTGATCCAGTAAAAGATTGTAAGTCATATTTTTCTACTTATATTCCAAGAGTCACTGTTCAGGCCAACGAGAGATTCAGTTTATCGTAAAGAAAAGATATTCCAAGAGTCATTTTTCACTCAGGCCAACGAGAGATTCAGTTTATTGAGAGAAGAAGAAGCTAGCATAATTTGAACGATTCGTGCATTTGAAGGAGATCATTAAGGACGATATACTTGCAACAATTTGTTGTAAGATTGCTGATTACCTAGGGAGCGCCTGAGAGTAGATAATATAGTCTACAAGGAACAAGGATTTGGACCACTCATCATCAGAGAGAGATATTTTTGTTTTCTGCAGTTTTTCTTTTATTGATAACACAATTTTTACACTTAATTTAGAAAGGATATAAATATTTTGATTAGGAGAGTTAGAATAATTTGGGATTTTGAGATTTCAATTAATATTGTTTGTACCATTAATTTTGAAGGTTCACGTACGTAGAACAAAATTTTGAGAATCATTATATAAGATTTTGTTTATTGAAAACATTTGAGTGTGAATTATTTCATTACTTTTATTTCAATATATAGTGTTATATCATATGTGTTTTTAATTATTCCGGTATTCTTTGGACCTTACCTTTCACATGTAATAGCATAGATATTGAAGCACGAATTTAACCCTGAGATAAGAGAATTAAAAAGTGTGATAGAGTCATAATCATATCATTTAAACAATATTAATTAATTAAATAATTAATTAGCTAATTAATTGCTTGGCGCACCAAGACTTGAAATATCACAATAATATATATATATCGCACCCTCAGTAATATAAGGGATCAACTCAAAATTTTGGTAAATTGAGATTTTAGATGCTATGGGCACAAAATTAAATTCTCTACCGGTTAGCGCTGACAGAGAGAGAAATAGGACATTAGTTGCTCGGTAAATAGATTTGTGCCTCTCTCTTACTCTCCCCGCCAACCTATTGTTTTTACTGCTACAAGGTAACAATCAGTAACGTGTCCATAGTCGTCAAAGGCGGACTGTTCAAACGTCGTGTGATTCGTGTTTGTGCCCTTCTATGACAAAACTCCTGGTGAGTTTGTATCTTAACATTTTGTATTATATAGAACAATTTTTAGTTTAGCCCTTATATTATGTAAAATGTAATTAATAATTGGGTCTAATTCATAATAGCTCGCTATATTGCCAAAAAGTAGAGATGTTATACGGAATCATATCTTATTGGTTCATTATAGTACGTAAATTGTTTTATTGTTGATGGCGAACTTTGTA